TTGAAGTTAGCTCAAAACACAAGATATTTAGAACTCATAAAATATGAAAACCCCAATATGATGTGCTTATGTTATATAAGCCTTTAAACTGAAAAATACTATTGAATGCCATGCAATTTAAAAAATATCATGAAGCTAATTCAGCCAACATGCAAAGGGAGTCAAAATTTAACGATAATTTCATATATCAACCTTATCTATTTAGCAGTAAATAAATAAAAATTTATCTAACTCCATTTAGGGTATCAATATGAAATTAGTATATTTATTTCCTGAAATAATTATGTAAGTAAATTATTTGAAATAATTTAAAGATGTACTTCGTGTTTTAGCAAATTTAAAAGAATTTAATGCCAATTTCTTTGTTTGTTATAAATATCCAGGCCAAATACATTGGATTCTATTGCTACTGCTGAAGCCATATGTGGTTTAAATCCGAAAATTTATATAACGCGTTATTTTAAAGTTTATTCCCAAGCAAAATTACCCTAATACTACAATTATGCGGTTGTATGGGTTTTTGATTTTTGCTTGTCTTTCTCATGAATTATTAGATTTTACATATATTGTGTAAATATATATTCTTGCCTTTTTTTGGAATTCTCACTTAAATTGAAGAGACTTTCCGAAACGATATATTTATATTTCGGCGACCATGAAATAATTGACTCTGGAAGAATGTACTACAGACAAGCTATTTTTAACTTGCGCTATACATTTATGCACTGCTTCAACGTTTGAAAGTTCTGTGCATATTTATACATATTTTAAATACATAGTCTTGTATCAACTTCCGAGGACTTCACTTACAATTCATCGTCTTTAAAGTAACTGCCGTTAAGTTGACGCGTAATGATAGGAATTTAGAGGCTCTTTAACTTCAGAGGAAATTTGTCCGGATAGAATTAAATTTAAGTTTGGTTCTCAATTTATAATCAGATAATAGTTCCTCTTCAGCGTAACTACATAACGCAGTGCATCCTATTAGCTGTATGGCTATCATTTTCCTTTTTTTTAAGAAAGAGCCCCCATATATATCAATGAATTCGATCACTATATTCCTATATCTTAATTTGCTTATTCAGTAACTGATTTACTATCTAGTGATTTATTTTAAAGGAAGGCTCATTTATAGTTTATAAATTTAAAATTATTTATTAATCAGCAGTGTATAATTGAAGATATGAAGACCAAGATTATGTGGCCTTTTGTGTGGTTGCGGTTTCCTTTCATTGTATTTTAGTTATTTAACCCTGTTTTCGCAACTTGATCATACTGGCAGGAAGACTGGAGGAACGCACCCAGTCCACAGTCCATAGAATGCTTGATACTTTCCAATAGGACTGTGGACTTGGTACATTCTCAGACGTTTCACCGGCATCTTAATCGGCATGAGTTGTAGTCTTGTTCTAATACTGGCAAGGCTCACTGACGATGCCGACTGCGATGCTGGCGAATTGTCTGGAATGTACCAAGTCCAAGGACCGACTCTGAAAATTATTGTACATACCATGGAAACTGGATGAGTTACGTTCCTCTAGGTCTTCCTGCCAAGGTCAAACATCAACATTGTATATGTCGAAGAAAAGTGAGCAAATTCAAGTATTATTATAAAAATATA